GGGGGACCGTTCTCCCCTGCCGCAGCGGGATCAGGGCATGCTGCGCGATCCGGGGATAAGAGATTCCCCTATCCAGGCCTGTTGGCTGGAACGGGGATTCCCCCCTCTCCCTCTTCTGTTTAGGGGGAGAGGAGGAAGAGGAGCGGCGGCCCGGGGGGAGGCTCGGGTCACTGCTCCTAGCCCCATCTCGAATACCAGAGGTGAGGTTGAGGAGGGGGGCGGGTACTCCCCTCCCTCTCCGCCCCTACAGCACTAGTTGGTCGGGGCCGGGTGTTCTCCCTCCATGTAAAGGGAGAGAGTCAAACACCCAGCCCTGGGTCCTCATGCACCCCTAGATAGGACGGCGCTCTCTGACCCGGGAATAGAGGGGAGTGTGGACGACTTGTCGTCCGGAAGCACTCCCTCCTTCCCGAGTTAGGGGGGGGGACATTTGGAGCAGCGGTTTGGAGCCAATACGGCGGCACATTCCCTGGGGTGAGACTGAGACCTCTCTGAGGTCCGAAACACCCACGGAACAGGGATGTGTCTAGCCATGGCTCCCCTCTCTCTCAAACCCCCATAAGTCCTATAGTCACGGTGGCTATAGGTGGCGGCCCATTGGGGCTCATGGTGGCGGCGGTCCAGCACAAGGAATGAGGCGATCAGTACGTGCAGCCGCCATTCGCTGCTCTTGAGGGAGGCACCCCCCAGGAGTTTCAGTCGGTGCGAGTCCGACATAACCCTCGCCCCCCCCCCCAGGACCGAGAGTACCCATAAGGGGTTTCTCCTGGGTTAACAAAAAAAGGAGTCGTTACTAGGGACAGAGGGAAGTGGGAAGCCACTTGGAGGTGGGCCCACTCTCCAAAAGCCCTCTCCTCCCTGAATAGCAGGGAGGAGGGGTAAGAAGGGAGGGCGGATATCCCCTCTCTCCTCAGGCGAAACCAGAAGGCCAACGGTCGGGCAATCGACCGGGAACCGCATCCTGGATTCCCTTGGTGGAACAGAGTGCGGTGCATTGATGGCGAGGGGCTCCCTTTGAGTCCTGGAGCCGGGGGATTGGGGAGGGAATACGGGAGTAGTTCCCCTGACTCCTCTCTCACCGGTCCGACAGGTAGGCATCCCGCAGGGGTTTTAGTCGGTAAGAGTCCGACATAACCCCCTGACTCCCCCAAGGGTCGGAGGTATCCATGATGGATTTCCCCTGCGTGACCAAAAAAGAAAAAGTGACAATAGATGATAGAATTCTGAGAGGATCGAATATCATCCACCTCTTGAACGACGCGGCTCGTGAACGAGAAACCAGCAGAGCAGTAGCGAGAATACAGCTTGCACGCCTTTTGCGTGAAGTGGATACTCCTTTGAAATTTGTAGGAAATCGAGAATTACTGGAAGAAGTCACGGAAGAAAATGATCTTTCCGCGAGATTGAGAGAAACTCTTCCGAGAGGTAGCAGCACTCCGCTCCCATCACCTGACGAGCAGCTTTGGTCTAAACGTAAGATTGCCCAGACGTCGCTTGAGAAAAAAGATCACGAGGATGGACGGGCTCTGTTTGTAACAACCAAAGAGAATAGAAATAAAACGCGAATGAGCGGAGACACTTCTAAACCAATGAGTAAAAGACGCGTGATAGATTGGAACCCGTTAGAATTGAGTATAGCTTTTTCGCCGGCTAACAGCTATGCACATCGACTTCCACTATCGAAAGAACGAACGTGCAAACGTGCTATCGGAGACACGTTTCTCGCTAAAGAACCCGACGCAGAGCGTGTACACGCGACATTTATCACTTCCGATCAATATAGGCGTGAAACGCGAGTGAACGTCAACGCTTCTAAATCAGCGAGTAAAAGACGTTTGATCAGTTGGAACACACTGGAATGACCGACCTCGCAAAATTCTACTACGATCCTGCACACTATGCGGGATACTCTACGATAAAAAATCTTTCGCGAGCCGCAGGACCTAGCTCCACGCATGAAGAGATTATTCGTTGGCTTCAGGCGCAGAATGCATACATATTTCATCGACCGACACGGCATAAATTTCCACGTTTGCATTACAACGTCACGAATATCGACGATCTGTGGGAGGTTGATTTGGTTGAACTCGCTAATCTCCGAAATTACGAGGGCTATTATTACTTGTTAACAATCATCGATGTGTTTAGCAAATTTGTCTGGGTAGAACCAATACGAAGTAAGACTTCGGCCAGCGTGACGGAAGCTTTTCGTCACGTGTTCTCAAGAAGCAGTGGGCGAGTACCGGTGTGGTTGCAGAGTGACAAGGGTAAAGAATTCATCGGTCAAGCATTTCAAAAGTTTCTGAAAGAAAAGAGTATAAGTTTTCGCACGGTGCGAAATCCTGATGTCAAAGCAGCGATGATCGAGCGCTTCAACAGAACGCTCAAAGAACGTTTATGGCGCTATTTTACACACAAAAATACACATCGCTACATAGATGTTTTGCAAGGCATCGTGCACACTTACAATCACACTCGACATTCAACCATTAAAATGGAACCGACAAGCGTCACGTTGGAAAACGCACGCATCGCTCGTGAACATATGCAACAGCGATACCATCATCTCGATAAACTCGATCGAAGAAATCATAGTCAAGGAGCTAAATACAAAGTAGATACACTAGTGCGTGTCAGTAGAGCGAAAGGGGTCTTTGAGAAAGGATATGAGGCGAACTGGACGGAAGAAATATTTCGTATTCACCGTATTTTCAAATGGCGAAATCCCCGTGTGTACGAATTGAGCGATCTGTCAGGCGAAGTGATCGATGGGATATTTTACGAGCAAGAACTAGCCGGGGTAAACAAAAACTTACAAGAGGAAGAATTTATCGTGGATAAGGTGATACGACGCCGAAGACGAGGAGCTAATAAAGAATTTTTCGTCAGCCGACGGGGTTACCCTTCTAAATTCAATTCCTGGATAGCTGCTTCGAATATAAAGCTGTTTCCAAACCATGATGGGGGAAAACGAGTTTCTCATGATACTACCGAGCAATAGTAGCATGCAACACTATCCCGAAAATACAACTACTTCATTTATTACGGAATTGCCTCAAGAAGTGAAGCTGACGGGCTTATGGGAAGTTGCGCTTAGCGAAATTCAATTCTCTTTTAGTTTTTTACACGTGCGCTCCGAGAAAGATACAGAACTCGTATTCATTTCATTGCCGCGTGAAAATATTAATACCAAAAACGCCAAATCAGTCATCATAAAAAATGACGACCATTTACCCAAATTCGGGCTTACCCACATAACCTCCGGTGTTTACACCACGGTGAGCGAACTGTTACAGTCTTTAAACAACGCTAGCTCATTATTCAAAACGCACATTGCCTGGCGCCAGAATCCTCATCAGGGTGGTAAAGTAACGGTATACTGCACATGTGATATTAAAGAATGCAATAGTCTTCATTTCGTGAAGTTTTCCGACAAAGTGGCTCGTATGCTCGGCTTCGATATGTATAGCCCGAACGAGGAATTCATTCATCTCGACTTGCCGGAAATTATACAGGGGCGTATAGCGTACCATCCCAATACTGATCGTAATGCGAGTCCCCAGAAAGTTGGAGAAGGAAGGCTTTACTCTTTTATCATGTCGAAACGTGAACTTATGTCCGACGAACCAGCTAGTACGGTGCGGGGTGTACCCGATAAACTCTTTGTTTATTGCGACATTTGTGAGTCCTATAACGGGAGACGTGTATTCTCCTCTTCTCCGTGTAGTCCCCGTCGAATACAACGGTGGTAAATATGCCTATGGCCGTAACATGGTGAAGCATTTTTCACCGCCGAATTATATTCCATTACGGTTAACATGTTTCCGCACGATCGAAATAGATATAAGAGATCAGGTTGACGAAAGAATACCATTTGAATTTGGAACGTTGACAGTTACATTACAATTTAGACGTCGTGATTAGCACGATGTGACACATTATTTAGAGTATTACGAAGCGCAATCCGGGGGAAGTCGCGGAGGTGAAATTCCGCAAGTTTTTGTAGAATCGCAGTATCAGCGTGGTCATGGTATCGGCAGTTTTCTCGGTAGTCTGTTCAGGCGTGTGTTACCATATCTGGCCAGTGGTGCGCGTGTTGTTGGAAAAGAAGCTCTACGCGCAGAAATTAATATACTCGATGACGTGGAAAATAACACGCCGTTGAAAGCAGCTGTTAAAACGCGCCTCAAGGAATCAGGCTCAAATCTCAGAAGAAGAGCGGAAGAACACATTAACAAACTGATGGAGAGGTCTGGATATAAAACTCCTGCAAACATCGGAAAAGCTCAGTTTCTTTTCGTCACGCTAAGCGGATACAGCGGCAAATCATCTGCACCCAAACGTCTAGTCAACGCTTCTAAATCAGGTAAGAGGAAAGCGACTCGAAGAAACATACAGGGGAAAAAACGGAATAAGAAGCTAGTGAAGAAGCCGTCGAAGAAGCGTTCAGTGAAGAAAAGCGGAAGAGGCCTTGCTAAACGTCGGGGAGTTATCAAGAAACGTACCGCGTCAGACAATTTTTCCTAAACAACAACAACAAACGCTTTCGAACCATGTCCTTTCTTCATACGCATTCCTGTGAATGTTTAAAGAGTGAACTCGATCTCTTTACCTTGCTGCCTACACAAACCAGCATTGAGAGTTCACAATGGATGCACTACAAACCCGTGTCTTCTCTCACGGACAACGCGCCCATCGAATTCGTCATACCCGGGCATGGAGAAGAATACATAGATCTTGCTCACACTATGCTGTCGCTACGCATACGAGTAGAAATGGAAACTGTAGCAGGAGCCACCGCCACAAAAGTAGGCCCAGTAAACCATATACTGCATTCGATGTTCAATCAATTCGACGTATATTTCAACCAAAAGCTCGTGTCTCCTTCAAACAATGCTTACGCTTACCGCGCTTACATAGAGGCGTTATTAAATGATGCTTCACCAGTAAAAACCTCCCATCTGGCTTCGTGCCTGTAGTACAACGATACGGCGGGGAACATGGACGCTCTACTGGGAGCGACACCATGCAATCACAGACTCGACAAGCGAGCCGCTTTTGTACAAGGAGGACGAACACTGGATCTCATAGGTCATCTTCACTGCGACGTCTTCAATCAAGATAAATTCTTGATCAACGGTGTCGAAGTGCGCATGAGGCTTGTTCGTTCGAAAAATTCCTTCTGTCTTATGGAGGGAAATACTATGTCACGGATACGCGTTTTAGATGCTACACTACTCATCAGAAGAGCTAGAATAAATCCAGGCATATTACTCGTTCATACAAAAATGTTGACCAAGACTACTGTTAAATACCCGCTCACGAGAGTCGAAGTTAAATTATTCGTGATTTATACTGGCGTCGTAGAAGAAACACTGGACAGCGTCATTCTTGGACAAATACCGAAGCGTATAATTGTCGGTTTTGTTGATAACAAAGCATTTAACGGTGCCCGACATTTAAATCCGTTCAATTTCCAGCATTATGGAATAAATTTCTTTTCACTGTATGTCGATGAAACTCAAATCCCTAGCAGGCCGTTACAGCGAAAATTCTCTGGTAACGGGATGCTCTACGCCGAAGCGTATCACATCCTTTTCTCGGGAACGGGTATTCACTTTTTGAACGAAACTAATTCTATATCCAGAAAAGATTATCCTGCTGCTTATACTCTTTTCGCCTTCAATCTCACTCCTGATCTATCGGCTAATTGCGCTCAATGGAACCTTGTGAAACATGGTAGTTTGCGAATGGAAGTACGATTCGAGAAAGCTCTCACAGCAACGATCAACTGCTTAGTTTACGCTGAATTTGAAAGCGTGCTGGAAATAGATTCTTCTCGTCAAGTCATTGTAGATTATAGCGGTTAAAACGAATCCCCCACTTTTCTTTTCGACGTCATTCCCCTTCCAATGTAAAGATTTTCAACATCATAACCCTCCTGAGTAAAGGTTTTGAGAAAAGAGTCCAGTCGATTTCGAAGCGCGAAAAGTATAGTTTCGGGGGAAGCAGAATTGCATATACAGAGGGAATATGGATGTCATTATCGAAGTACAATGTTTCCGCGATAGCAACGATGTCTACGTCTCAAGGAGATGGCTATTATCGGTATGTTAATGAGTCATTCGTCGGTCATTGGATTTTAGCTCCAGAGTATTTATTTGCGGAATTGAATGAAAAATCAAGGTGTATAAATAACTGGCTTTCGCAGAGTTATCATGGTATCGAGTGGTACAACGGGGAGAGCAATCCGAAATATTTTTACCCGCAGTTGCGTGAAATTACGAGTCATATTCGTGACTTCATGACAAAGGGCAAGGAAAAAGCGAGCTACTTGCAAAATTTACTAGCCCGAAACGTGTATAATCTGGAGAATATTTCGCCGATGTTCAGTGATCTTTCATCCAGCGAACGTGTAGAAGCTTGCTCATTCCACGCATTTAGAAAACACAGTCGTTATCACTGTGCATTACGCAACGCATACAAATTGAAACATTGGTGCATCGAACAAAGCTAAATCAATCGGGAAACGTAACAACGTCTATGTGGCTCAGTACTTGTCTTCCAAAATTGACGAGGAAGAGAGCGAAAATAGCTACTCCTACAAATCGGGGAGTGAAGAGCCATCGACTGAAGAAGAGGAGAACGAAACAAATACTGAGTAGGAGCATTCAGTCGAACCGTTGAGGATTATAACAATCATGTTACCAGAGGTAAACCGAAATTATATAAAATGAATTCGCTCGAAATTCAACATGCGCTGCAACATCTCAACGCCAGATATACAGACGTCTATCCAGCCGACAGACTACCGAGGGTGTGGACGAAATCGACGGCAATAGTCGCTAATACGGACAATCACGACCGTCCAGGACAGCACTGGGTCGCATTCTACATCGATCAGAATGGAGCAGCCACATACTTTGACAGCTACGGGATGCCGCCCTGGGACACACGATTTCTCCTGCGTCTTAGAAGAAATTCCGCCACTTACCGATGGAATCTCTCAGTTACAGGGTCTCTTATCGACGACTTGTGGCCATTATTATTGTTTTCCTTTACTTTGTGTGCAGGGGTTATAATCTCAATGCCTTTAAAAATTTATTTACCAATGATTGCGAACGAAACGATCAGCTAATTGTACGAATGTATAAGAAAATCTTTTGTCAATGTAAGCGTAAATCACTAGATCATCATCCCTATGTACCAGGTTCAATCCCGTATTAGAAAAATGTATAAGAATAAAATGTGAATTTATTCTATAAAAATGTTGTATATTCCTTTCTTTCCGCCTCTTCTCTCTTCCCTGTGATCTCTAATTCGCGGTAACAAAACCTGTTGTAAACTTTTCGAGTTCGAAAGCGAGGGACACAGGTAAAAATATTGAGGTAGACATAAACCGGAGGTATCGTCTTCTAACAATCGCTGAGTAGTTTTTATCTCCGAAATTATCCTTATTTACTCGAACATGTGCACCCACGCTCGCGCGCCTCAAGAGCAGGGGCCTCAGAGTCACGAGTCCGTAGGGCTTAGAATTTTCTAAATTTTCCACTCGTGACGTCAATACTCGACGTATGTATACGATATATCTAGTTTCCATCAGAGTATAGCAATAGCGCAGCGTATAAGACGCTTGACTTAAGAGCCAACGGACTCTGGTTCGAATCCGAGAAGGACCTCTACAGGATTTTTCCAGAGAACACACATATGGGGATGACCACACACACACACACGCACATCTCCATTCCGTTATACGACTACGTCGTAAAGACAGTTTCTACCAGAGAGCAGCAGTAGTACGGTGGTAAGACGGTTTGACTCGAGAGCCACAGAGGTCCCCGGTTCGAATCCAACAAAAAGGGCCTTACAAGGTTTTTTCGAAATTTGTGACGTCGATACTTTCCATATGTAGACGATATAGCTAGTTTCCATCAAGGTATAGCTGTAGCGCGGTAGTAAGACGGTTTGGCTCGAGAGCCAGAGATCCCGGTTCGAATCCGCGGTAGGGCCTACTACAGGGTTTTTCCAAAACTTGTGACGTCGATACTTTCCATATGTAGGCTATATAATTAGTTGTTTCCATCAGGGTATATAGTAGTAGCGTAGTGGTAAGACGCGTGACTCAAGAGCCAGAGGTCCCAGGTTCGAATCCAGCAGAGCTCACAGAGTTTTTCCGCAAGTACAATATGCAAATTAAGTGGCTGATCAAGAGCCAGAATTGCTAACTCCCTAATAATGTCAGCCATAATTTGCTTATTTCAAAAGTCGATTAGTTTTTGCCTGTAGGGAAGTATGACCCGTCAAAACATTCCCCCTCCACTCTACCCGCCGGCGCCGGTGGGTGTGGTTTAGTGTCGCCGACGAGTCGAGTGGAGGGGGAATGTTTTGACCTTCTCTCCCCGCAGCCTTGACGGGTCGCCCGCGCACGTCCCCGCGCAATGCATCTCCGCGCAATAGTGCATTCCGGGGCGCATTCACGCGCCCATCGGTCGTGCCGCAATATTTCTCACGCCGCGTGCGCCTTCCGCGTGCATTCTGCGTGCCCGCGCGGCATATTCCGTCGCCCGTGCGTGCCACTTGCCTCGCGCGCTGTGTGCACGTGCTGTTTTTGTTGCCGCACGCCGTGCGTGGCCTGAGGCATCGTGCCTCAGCTTGCGTGTTGTTTTCGTATTGACATTGCGAACGTCCTTACACATACGTTACATTTGCATGCGGTAATCTCTACTTTTGCGAGCGGTTTATTCTTCACATTTTGCGAGCGGTTTATTCTCATATTCGAGAGCGTCTCATTCCGCGTTTCTGTTGCGAGCGTCTCGTTCCGCGTTTGTCCTTCGCGGACACATATCTTGCGCCTCTGTGCACGTACCCATTTCTTGTTCGCACGTACACGTGAGAGACAATAATAAAGTTCTGTTCTGAAGACCTTGCGTTCCACCGGTATTGTGAGACCGAACACGATCCTAGGGCACGAGTACCGTGACCCCGTGATCTATGTGTGGGTGTGGGTGATAAGAGGTCGGAGCGTGCAGCGGCACCTCCATTTTTCAGTTTTCACCGAACGGGGTTCCCCCGCATCAACCATTAATCCCCACATATCTATCGCTCTGCTGCTGATTTTTCAAAATGTAAGAATTGGGTGCGTTCACGACACTCAACGGTTGAGCAACTGTTGAATAATTTGTTAACGTTATTGGTCTGAATATAAGGATCTAACAGTAAGGACCAATAGTCACTAATCGCTCATTGAGCGGTTTTCTCCGCTAAACGCAATTATTGTTGACATACTTATGTCATACCACGTATATTTCATTTCTCATCTTTCGTTGCGAGTTACTGCGCAGGAATGCTCTGCAGGAGGAACAGCAGCTCTCATCTTTCTCGAGTCGGGATGCGTCCCGAAAGTCATTAAAAAAAAAGTGACAATCTTTATGTCCGCGACCGTACATATGTATGTACGAATGTATTATATGTATGTACGTGTGTGTACATATGTGTACGTATATCTTACACTTTCTCACTCTCCCAGTCTCCCACTCCCTCACTCTCTTATTCTCTCTCTCTCTCTCTCTCTCTCTCTCTCTCTCTCTCTCTCTCTCTCTCTCTCTCTCTCTCTCTCTCTCTCTCTCTCTCCCTCCCTCCCTCCCTCCCTCCCTCCCTCCCTCTCACTCCTCTCTCTCTCTCTCTCCTCCCCCCTCTCTCATTCCCCTTTCTCTTTCATACCCCCCCTCCTCTCTCTCTCTCTCTCCTCACCCTCTCTCTCCCTTTCTTCCTCTCTTATTTCCCTTTCTCTTTCACTCCTCTCTCTCTTCATTCTTGTCTGTCTCTCTCTCTCTCTCTCTCTCTCTCTCTCTCTCTCTCTCTCTCTCTCTCTCTCACTCCCTCTCTCCTCTCGCTCTCTCCCTCTCTCACACTTCTCTCTCTCCCCCTCTCCTCCCTCCCCTCTCTCACACTCTCTCTCGCACATTTTGTCCTATACTATATTCTGGCATATCTCTCGCTTACACGCTCGCATTCGCTGCTGTCTGCTTGTTCAGCGCTCTCGTAGCGCCCCTGCGGCGCGATTCTTTAACTCGTTATTAGAGTTAACGACACTTTTGTTATCGTTGCGTAGCTTTTATATACTGTAGAAAAGCTGCGTAACGATAACGAAAATGTCGTTAACTCCAATAACGAGTTAAGGTAGTTATTCCCCAACTGAGGAAGTCAACATAAAGTACAAAAAAGAAATATAAAAATATATTTTATAAAGAAATATAAAAGTATCTTTTCTTATACTAAAAATCGAATAAATAATTAACATGAAGTTGTACTGCATTACTACGGTATATTAATAAAAAAGAAAAATAAATATTGAAATATATCAATTGCATGTACCACGTAGTTGAATGCGAGAGAGAACGAGTGGCAACGGTGCATTATCATAGCTGTTCGCTCAGCAACAACACGACCACTATAACTTATAACAGAGCTCGGCAAAAAATGCACGCGACGGCCGATTTTCGACTATCTCCGCCCACCGCTGTTCCCTTTACCTCGCTACTCCGCATGCTGCCAACAAGCCGCTCGAGCGTGTTTCCAACAGTTTTCCACGTCACCCATGAGGTACTATTGTTGACGCGTTTTTTTTAAAGTGGCATCCCCAGTAGGCCTAATCCACTGATGACTGTAACAACCCGTAACTAATTGAACAGAAGCGAAATAAAATATGTTAAATGAAGAATATTTAATTCGATTTTCGGCGTCTTTTATTAGTAAGAGCGGAAACGTCAATTTGCATATTGCATGTAGCGAGACGCATAAGACGTGGTAAGGAATCATCGTTTAAAGAAGAACGCTTCTCATTTTTTATAAACTTCATTTTCAAAAATGAAGTTTCAAAAATTAAGTTTCAAAAAAGAACTTCATTTTCAAAAATGAAGTTTATAAAAAATGAGAAGCGTTCTTCTTTAAACGACGATTCCTTACCACGTCTTATGCGGCTCGCTACATGCAATATGCAAATTGACGTTTCCGCTTTTACTAATAAAAGACGCCGAAAATTGAATTAAATATTCTTTATTTAACATATTTTATTTCGCTTCTGTTTAATTAGTTACGGGTTGTTACAGTCATCAGTGGATTAGGCCTACTGGGGATACCACTTTAAAAAAAACGCGTCAACAATAGTACCTCATGGGTGACGTGGAAAACTGTTGGAAACACGCTCCTGAGGCTCGAGCGGCTTGTTGGCAGCATGCGGAGTGGCGAGATAAAGGGAACAGCGGTGGGCGGAGATAGTCGAAAATCGGCCGTCGCGTGCATTTTTTGCCGAGCTCTGACTTATAACATAACCACGCAGCGCGTATGTAGGTGCATACAGAAATGTCGTCAGACAAATCGCGATTTAAAGATAGGTTTATGAAGAAACAAGAAATACGACGAAGGAAAAAGGTGCGAGAGGCCAATTCTAAGCGATGGCAAGAATGTCGTAGTGATAGTTTCAATTCTACGCGAGATCAGCAAAATGCATGTGCATCGACAAAACCCGCTTGTGTTGGAAATCGAATTGTCAATATACAAGCTTTAGGGAAAAATCTCAAGTGCCATAGCTGTAAAAGTACTTTATCTTTAGAGAATATTGTGAACGAAACAAAAAAAGGATTACATTCAATCTTCACCGTAATTTGTCAGCAATGTCAAGTCGCTTGTCGGGTGGACACCGGAGATAATCACGCTGTCAATAACGAGGCTACAGTTTATCTCATAGACAAGATTCACAATGATCTCACAACAAATGTAGTTTTAGGTAAGTTCTAATATCTTTTTTGTGTCAATAACTATGTAGCTTATAAACTACCTATAGTATTATTTATGCACACATCATTTATTTAGAAATACTTGAAGAGTAAAATCATTCTTTACAAATATAAATTAAATCTTAATTTTATGTATATTGCATACTATATTTAATAATATATGACAAATTTATTATTAGGTATGTTACATGCTGGAGTGGGTAGTACAGAATTAAACAAGATTTTAGCCTGCCTCGATATTCCTACAAGCTCACCTAGATTATTAAAGAAATATGAACAGGAGGTTGGACCAGCAATTGAAGCAGCAGCTAGAAGAAGCTGCAGAAAAGCTGCATCTACAGAAAGAAAACTAGTCTTAGAACAACTAGATGAACTTGTAACGGCCGAACTCCGCGGTTCGGTCGTCGCTACGCGTTGTGCGCGGATAAGACTCGTCGGAGTCCGGGTTCGAGGAGGAGTAAAGCAGCGAGACACTTGAGAGTGGAAATATAAATAACTTAGATTTATTCTATGCTTACTTATATACAAGAGCTCGGCCCCGAAGGCGTTGTCGCGGGTCGCGTCTATTAGGCGCGTCGGTACGGTACGGTGCGGTGCGGTGTGCGGTACACGCGCGTATAGAGACGGACAGGCCGCGCGGGAGGCGGGGCCTATTGCGCGATGCGTGTAGACGGTAACGGCGCGGTGATCGGTCTCGCTTCGCGACACTGGGCGTCTCGGACAATTATCGCCCAATACTCAGCTCGAAATCGCTCGCGTATAGATGGTCGCCGGGCCGGAGATTTCGACTCTCGGTCGAACGCACGCACGCAAGTCGCAGAATGATTTCGTCCGTCGGGGCCGAGGATTCTCGACAGAGAAGACGTACGCACCTTCCCTTTTCCCTACGTTCGCGGAGGAAAGCGACCAAGTGCTGCGGACACTCAGCGGAGACGGCGGACGCACCGTCCTGGGTCCTTGGTCGCTAGACGGATCGTCTAAAGGCTGAGTATGTTCAATGGAGTTCGCCGACGGACGAACTCCTGACTCAAGGCGGCGGATAAAGGCTAGAGATTGCCGAGTACGCTCGACTGAGCACGTGCACGCACGAGCCCAGGAAGACGGGAGACGGCCAAGTATCGAGCACGCTCGATCGAGACTGCGGACGTAAATCCCGTTTGCTTAGTCGCCGGTCGGGTAGTCGGAAAACGGAAGGCAGAGCGAAACGGTCCGGATATTCTCACTATCGGCATGAAGCATCTAGGTCGAATCGGCGGTACGGATTGGTCTGGTCTGGTGTTCAGGAGCTCGATCGCCGCCGTTTTATAGTCGTATTCTCTACGACTGATACGGCGGCGATCGAGCGGCGCGCCTATCAGCGCGAGACACGGCGACGGCGCGTGATCGCGGTCGCACGCGCTAGCGGCAGCGCGTGATCGCCGCGGCGTGCGATAGCGGCGACGCGAGATAACGGCGCGCGATCAGTAATCTCGATTGATTAGGATGGCGCAAAGCGCCGTTCTTCGGCCCGTGGTCGGTCGGGCTGGTGGTAACGAGGTGCATTTGCGCCTCGTTACAAACTACGTAAAGAAATGTAAATATAAATGCGTAACTTGAATATGAGTTTTCAATGTATCAAATTGTAAAAATGTATGAATTATTCATACGTGTAATCTTAATTTATACCACAACGATCATTTAATTTACTACTGATCTTTTTATTTAATGATATAACTTTTAAGTTTATTATAAGAATTTAGAAATATTTATTGCACTAAGCTATTGTAATGTTTTTTACTTTTATTATATAACTATAAAAATCGTATGAATAAATTTATAAAATACAAAATGGTTGAATTCTGAAATATAATTCATTAAAAATGTTACATTTTTTATTTCATTTTAATTTTTTGTTTTTTTACATTTTATTTGCAGGCCTCATGAAATTGGAGATGAATTTATGAATGAAATGTCAGATGTAGCTCGAGCAGACTGCAATAATAACGATGAAGATTTTGATAAAAGTTTAGGTGCCCTTGTAAATATTATTATATCATATGATATGGGTTGGTCAAAACGCGGGAACGGTAGAAGCTACGATAGTCTGAATGGTTATGGCGCAATAATTGGCTTTTTATAAAAAAAAATTTTAGATTATCGAACTCGAAATAGAAAATGTCACTTATGTGACCTAGGCAGACCTGTACATGAGCATGATTGCCGCAACAATTTTACTGGTAGCGCAAAAGCTATGGAAGCTGATGCTGGCGCCGAATTAATTACTAATAGCAGCATATTAAAAGAAGCTAATCTTAAAGTTAAAATGGTAATTGGAGATAAGGATAGTTCGCTAATGGCTGCTGTTAATAAACAAAATAAAGAATCTAAATTAGCTGATACGAACCATGTGAATAAAAATTTATCTAAAAAAATTTATAATCTTCGGTCAAAACATAAAGAATTGAACAAAAAAGGATTTATATCTCACATTAAAAAATGCTTTAGTTATGCTATTTTCCAGAATAAAGGGCGTAGTAAAGATCTAGCTAAAAATGTAAGATGCATTCCTGATCATCTGTACAACAAACACGATAATTGCGGCACTTGGTGCAAAAATATTTCTGACGATAAGACTGGATTGTATCAACCAAAGTTTATTATTAAGAGCGAAGAACTTTACTGTGATTTACAAAATATATTTGCACTATACGCCGATAATGCGTTTAAATATTGTATATCGGCATATAGTCAAGCTAATGAAGCATTTAATCACACTGTGACTAGCAAGTTTCCAAAAAATGAAAGTTATAATACTAGTACATCAGGAGATATTCGAGTAGCTAGTGCTGTTCTTACAAAGAACGTAGGAAACGCTTATTTAATAGAGATAAAGAGAGACTTGGGTGTTCCTATAAATAATCACTTGATAGATTATTGCAAAAAGTTAGATGAAAATAGTAGCAAAAAATCTACCAAAGCGCAAACTAAAGAGCAGAAACGTCGTAGAACTCAGTTAGTTTCAGAAAGAGAAAAATTACGTATGACTACGGAAAGAACAGAAGGAGTAACTTATAAGTCAAATATTGCTTTTGAGATACAGCATATTTATGAAAATTCTAATTCAAATGAATTAGTCAATAAAACAGCTTTACAAGAAGAAAATAGTATTATCGTTATATTCGATTTGGAAACGTCAGGTCGAGGGCGGAATGCTGATATTTTACAATTAGCAGCTGTAGCTAATGATAATGTATTTTCAGTTTATATCGAACCAACTCAAGCTATCAATAAATCTGCCTCCGAAATTAATGGTCTACAAAATATCGATGGTGAATTATATTTAAGAAATAAAAAATTAACTACAGTACCTATAATAGACGCGTTATTGGCATTTCATGCATTTTTAGATAAATTAAGTAAAACTTGTTTACTAGTTGCTCATAATGCAACTTTTGATATATCGTTTTTGTTAAAAGAGTGCATTAAACATTCATTAGTTGAAGAGTTCAATAAAATTGTTTATGGATTTTGTAATAGTTTAAAAATATTAAAACAAAAATTTCCTGAACGTAAAGGAAAGGGAATGTTTACACTCTCTCAACTTGCACAAGATTTGTTAAACAAAAATATTTCTAATGAAAACTTTCATAAGGCTACTTACGACGTTCTACTATTACAAGAACTAATCAATTCAAATATATCTTTTGATATATTAACCAAAAATGCTACTGCATTTACGTTAAATGTAAATAATTATATTAAAAGAAATAATATCACCGCTAGAGTGGAGGGTTTTGCGGCTTTAAAGAGTACGCTCTCTTCTTATATGATAAAAAAATTTCGTCGTTAGGTATAAGTTACAATCAGCTAAAAGAATTTTATGAGCAAAAAGGAGAGGCATCATTTATGTTATTTTTATTCGAAGTAATAAACAAAAAGCCTCGTATAACAAAAGATCCTGTTATTTTAGAAAAAATTACTAATCATTTCAAAAGCTTAGTATAGATTCCCTAAAAAATGTTACGTTTATAAAAGTATTTAAAAGATTATATTTTTAATAATTTATTTCCCACCTACATTATATATCATTCTGTTTAAATAAATCACATGCCTATATATTATTTTGTTGTATTTCATTATTTTTATAATTCATTTTATACATATCATTAAAAAGAAGAAATTAATTTTTTAAACATTATCTAACGCCAAACGTATTTGAATGTATTTGAATATCACGCGTAGCAGATAGAGGCGTTGCCACATCTATCGCTTTCTCCCGTCAGCTGCTATGAAAATGTAAACAATGATGATATTTCGTGAAAGAAGGAGGGCGTACTAGGTGGCGACGGGACGCCGTGCGTTCGGGACCTGCATCTCATTTTTCGTTCCGAGGAGAGAAAAATATCGAGAGCGCGGTAGTCGCTAGACCGGGAATCGAACCCGGGTCTTTCGCTTGCCGGGCGACTGCTCTAGACCACTGAGCTATCTGACGCTCCACGCTCACGACACTCTCCCCTCCCCAGATAACGTTGAGAGATATCGTTCGGAAGCGACATCTCTAGTGCTATCCCGAGCGCACGGCGACTACAGAGAGAGGCATTGTTACTTGTACCTGGTGGTACAAGCTGACAGTCTCTCAAAGTCAAAGGTTGCTATCCTTTTAAGACCTGCTGTCCATGTATGCCGACCTCCACCGTTGCCCCTCCTTATCCGGTGCAAATAATAGAAATAAGCCCCGGGGTCGACGCCATATTTTGGCTGCCCCCGGGCGCTTGCGTTTTTTTTTTTTTTGCAACACCCCGAAGGGGGATCTCCACCATGAAAGAAGGAGGGCGTATTTCGATTTTTGGATGATTATTACACAATAACTATGTGGACAAGCTTTTCCAAAAAAATATGTTTCTTAAAGGGTTTAACTTGTTTTGTCTAGAATGAGATATTTATCATGACTCCTTGTGATGCAGTGGCCATTGAAAGGATTTTTTTCCTCATACGTCAGAATAAAAAATGTTAAAAAATAGTAAAAAATAGGCAATTTAAAGAATTGTTTAGCCTCTAATTAAGTTATATCACTATAAAAATTAATTTTCTGCAAACTATGCCATCAGTTTGTGAAAAGTCATTTAATTTGCAAAAAAGCATGCATAACTAAATTGAAATTTTAGACAAAAATGGCGAAGTTCGATTGGATATTTCTCGTAAACTAGACGGTCAATTTAGCCAAGATTTCGCAAAGTAACTTGTTAATATAAACATTAATTTTGTACAAAATTTCAGCGTTGTAGCATAACTTTTATTTTGAGGAAAAACTACCTTAAAGAATCGCACCACAGATCGGAAAAGCGAGATGCACACATATTCTCACTCCTGTGCATCCGAAGTTTCTTACTTTCTTATTGAATCGAAATTTTCCGTGATTCGGACTTTATTTTAAAATATCTCCACTTAGAGACAACGTACACAAAAATCACAAGAACATTCTGCTTTCTATTTTTTAAGGCCGAATCGATTAAGGCTAAAAAATTCTCGATCGGTTCAGCCATTGCTGAGATATGAATATCTCACCTCGCTTCAACTCGCAGTTTTACGTATAATAGACATGGTGTACCTCGCGCCGTTCGGGCGCAACTTCGGCTGCGATATTCACTGCCAGTACTGAAAATATATAGTTTGTGTCACCTATACTATAGATTTTCAGTGCTGGCAGTGAATATCGAAATACAGCCTTCGTTGCGCTTGAACTTGGCGCAAGACACTACCGTGCCTCTTGAAAATGGGTGATCATTGCCGGCGAGCTGAATTATAAGCATTCGGACTTTCTACTTGTTAATTAAAGTCAGCGAATTGATCTCGCTTAGAAGGGTGTTTGTTAATAAACTTAATATTCATAACATAATTAAACATTAGTGTTCCCTTAATCGAAGAGCACCAATACTGCCTCATGTCTTATAAAGGAAGGCTTACACTAAGCCAAGAGACATAAACTTATATTCTGTTAGAGAATATAAGGCCAGTGCAATTCTTACACGTGGAAAAGTGACATGTTCATGGCATGATTTATTCTTGTGTGCAATTTTTTTATTATTCGCTCAAGTGAACTTCTGTGACGTGTGACATATTCAGGAAACATGTAAGAAATTCCGAGTTCTCGATTTTTTGTGAAATACGATGTGTGAAAGCATAATTTCTACTCGTTTGATCAGCTGTTCGACCACGCGTTTTCTCGCGTGAATAGGCCTCTTTTTACGACTCTGCGTTAACCCTTTAACTGCTACGGTCGAGATAACTAGAGTGTGGAAAAAATGGCGGCCTTGCTACGATCGAGTTTACTCGATTCGGACTTTCAATGTGTAATACCTATTTAATTTAGTTTGTAAAAGTTTAGTTTAGTTTGTATTTTTTTTTAATAAAAAAATGTAAATTTGTGAAAATCTGAATTGTAAAAATAATTCAGCAAAGAGGGTCATACTGGCCACTTAATATCTCAGCAGTTAAAGGGTTAACTGTTGAAGCAAAAGGGGAGAATTCGGAACTTTTTACAAGCATGCTGAAGTCTTTTGTATGTTGTTTTAGAAAAATATCATTTTATTTTGAAATGGCACGCAAGAATTCTCAGCGTGGCATTTTTCGCATATGACGTCACAAATCCAATATGTCCGCGATGACCATCCAGGAGCCTTAAACATTCCACGCCAAGTATTATTAAATACTGTTAGGCACTTTCAAAGACGAATTGTACTTTGTCAATAGATAAATGGTGCAACTTTTGAGCATCTTCTTAATTAAAGAGTGATTGAATCACTTGAACCCTATGACATGGGTATACATGAATACACATCTTTAACTGGCCGGATCTATCCCCGATCTTGTCTTAACACTAAGAGGTCGAAATCATTCTTCGAAAAAATCATTTTAGCGATGTTTAAACAGCATTTTCATCCTGATGGAGGCGGAATATAAAAAAAAACATCAAGAATAAAACTCTCTTAACTTTTTATGTAGAATACAAATCTGTAGTAAAAAATAGGGGTTTCCATTAAAAAAGAACGAAGTTAACCTTCAAATAACCTTCAAAGTGACCTCCAAGATCAAAGTCAAGGTCGTCATCAAATGGTCCCCTCTGAACTCAACAACTTTTATCTGAAACATTTGCTGAAAATTTGATCATTCAGAGATGTTCGCATGAAGGTTTTAAAATGGGACACCCTGTATATAAAATATTTCCTGCATTTTTACGCTTTGATTGACGACTTAATGTAATTGTAAGATGCAAACTATCATTCCTTTTATTTCAAAAGTCATGGTCAATACCAATTTTTAAAACGATCAACCGCTCGTTTCCACTGATCTATCGTGTTTTTATAAGATATGCATATATCCTTATTGGGCTTGAATATTTTTTTCATTTGTTGAAGTTGTGATATTTCTTCTCTGCTATTCCACAATCCTGCAAGTAAATGAGGAACTGAAAGTTATTGTTCACTAAACATAAACATCCTAGTGAACCAATTATGAGCGTTTGTAAGACGAAATGGCGCGAAGTTCTTAAAAATTGTTTTTTTATGAACGATCATACCGCTTTCCAAGCCAGCCATGAAAGCTGATCCCAAGATAGACATCTCGACAGTTTCTGAACGCTCCACTTCCAATCCTGTTAAATCGCTCAGTAATTGCATAACGAAATCATTTTCGGAAACTCCTCCGTCGATCCTGAATAGTTATATTGCTCGTTCAGTCAAAATTCAATTCAATTTTGAAACCAACAAAAATTACATAGGAAGCCGATAACGTTACAAAAATAAAACTTTTTCTCTCATGTTAGATAACCTAGAAAGTTTGTGCTGTTTTAATCAACAGAGATAAATGATACACAAGGTAGGGTCAACAGTATTTTATTCAGAAAAGTAGTCATTATTTCGCCTTTTTAACTTAATTTTCTTAACCTTTTCTTAACAATCTAATAATTTCTCTATTGTTTGATAAAAATTTTCCTCTTTGCTATTAAAAGTGTTTCAACTCCCTTTCGACATTTTATCAATTTTTGTTAGTCTGACAAATTTCTGAAATCACTTTCGACCACAACGTTTGTTAACTCCATCTTCGAACGCGGAGGATATTTTTCGATCTCTGAAACCCTAGTACTCAATTTGAAAATTCATAAAATAAACAAGTTCGAATAATTGATTTTGACATAGTTATATTGAAGTCACTTTTTCAAAACTTTAAATAATTAATTCCCGTAAGTGTTATACACTGGTCAATTCTCTATTAAATAAACTTTTGTTTAAGTATATATAACCATACTTTTAATTGATAGTGTACGCATATGTAGTTTAACAATAACAAAACCTAGAAACGACACGAACTTTCTTGGTTACTTGATATTATCACTGTTGCATAATTTTCACCTGATATTTTTATATGTGAAAGAGGTTTCTTCCCAAAGGCAGTTGTAAAGCATTATTATTCTGAAAACAAGACTCTCCAACAATGATCGGACGATATGCGCTCTTTTCGTGGTAGGCTTCAATCCTATAAAACCTGCTGCGGCCGCGGGATTATTTATGGGTGCCTGAAATAATAACTATATATTCTGTTGTTTATATTGTATGTTATGTTACATGTTATTCCATTATTTTTTTATTCGCTCGTAAATATTCCCGATTTAATATGTTTTTTCTTTTGCGCATGCTTTAAACCATAACGGAAGAATGTCTGAAACAATTCTTTTAACTTCATCGCGAACGATGTCTCTCGCGTGTGATAAATAAAACACTCTTATCATAGCTTGATATTCGACTCGATGTCGAGACGGACAATTCGTCGTAACACGAGACTCAAAATAGCCAAAGTCTAATCTTATATCACACCTGAAGGCCGCTGAATGCTGGAATGAAGTATACTCCATCAGAATCATTAACCTTTTTTGCAATGTCAGCAGTCTCCTTGGCATTGTTTACAAGTCCTGTAGCAGTGACATGATTAAATTAACATATAATAACTAAAGTAAAAGCTTCTCGTAGATGAATGGGAACACATGTTCTCTTTCAAATAGAAAGAATCTGTCACAATAGAAAGAATTGTCGTAAATTTTTCACTTTCTCAATTCGTAAGCTAATGAATCACCTATTTCTTTGGCCCATTCGACTAATATGCCGGTGTCACTCGAGGATCCTTCCACGATATAAATCAGTTCATTCTTGATACGCCATCCGACAACCGGATAAAGACCTGTAAATAATTTCTGACTTCTATCTTGATATAGTTTATTTTCGAAATCTTTCTCATGTAGAATATACTCACATACAATATTCGCGCTGAAAAATCATAATACAAAGAGAATTTTTATAGAAGACATTAACATTCATGCATCCTGAGACAGAGAAAACTTGTTCGGCTAGAATATACTCATATTCAAAACATTCGAAGACAGTGTACATAGGTAATTATTTTACGTATAAATTTTTATATTGTGAAGTTAAGAAGATATCTGAACAAATTGTTAGTTAATTGTTGATTAATTGTTAATTAATTGTGATATGTAAACGTATACTTCGAATGTATTCAGTTTATGCTGTGAACAAACGTACGATGACAAGCATACGAGATTACCTTTAATAGATGCATGCGCCTCTTGTCCTGTGTTAACGTTCACGAAGGTGCCGGTTCCCATGGTGATCTTGAGGTCGCCAGGATAGAAGCATTTCGAACCAAATAACGACGCCGCTTGGTCAGCGATCTGATTTCATCGAATCATCATGAGAAACGAAAGAATCTCTTTGATATTCTCTTTTCTCGAAACGTATAATACCGGTTAAAAATATTTTACTACCAACAAAATTTCGGAAATTCGTGTATTAAATAAATTAAACATATTATATTGTTATGAATTAGTGGTTTTTTCATCGTAATAAAGTAAATGAATTGTACAAACGTGAAAAATAGAACTAAAAACATTAATAAAGATTATATTTTAGATCGAAATATCCGCCTTTTGCCTTACGTTCGTGAAGCTGTTCAGCTTCACACACTTTCGATATTCTTGCTATGAGTTTATTTAAAGAAGTTGATGCAATTTCACTCCAACATATCTGCAAATACTCCCAAAGCTGATTAAGATTGGTTGATCTCATTGCCCTGACTTTTCTGTCAAGTTCATCCCACAAAAGCTCAATGGGATTGAGATCGGATGATTGAGCAGGCCATGCCATATTCACCAACTCTCCTTGCTTCTCTTTAGACTCCACGTACCTTTTGCATAATTTAGAAGCATACTTCAGATCGTTATCCTGTTGCAAAACGAATCCTCGTCCGATTAATTTCTTCCCCGATGGGAGAGCGTGATATTACAAAATGCGATGGTAACGTTCTTTCGTCAAAGTATCTTTTATGTAAATGAAATTACCAACTTTATCGTTGCCAAAACAACCCCATACCATCACAGATCCGCTACTGTGCTTTACCGTAGGCGTAATATATTGATTTATGCAACGTTCGTCATGCATTCGACGGACATACACTCTTCTTTTTCTTCCAAAAATTTCAAATTTTGACTCATCCGTAAAAAGCATCTTTGACCATAACTCAACAGTCCATTTTGAATGTTTGCGAGTCCAACCGAGTCTTTTAATCTTATTTTGCTTTCTCAATAAAGACTTTTTAACTGCTATGCATCCCATTAGGCCATAATCTCGTAAACGACGTTGCACAGTTGAAGTTGACACTGGAATATCATGCATTCCATTCAATTCTTCACGAAGGTCCGGTGCTGTTTTAGTCCTCTCGCGTTTACTTGCGACGCAAATAAACTTATCTTCACTTTTTGTCATCGTTTGAGGTCTTCCCGATCGTGATCGTGAAGAGTTGGAGCCCGTTTCCATTTTTCTCCGCAAAATGTACAGGACAGTGGGATGTGTCACCAGTCTTTTTTGCTATTGTACTCGTATCAAGTATCCTTCCTGACGTAATGCTACTATCACAGCACGTTCTTCATTAGTAATTTCACGTTTCTTCGTCATATTTTTAACGTTAATAAATTTTAATAATACGCACTAAACAGAATTAGCTTGACATGTAGTATGTCTCGAAAACCGTGGCTTACTAACGACTATCGAGTATCAAACAATGATGCAGCAGTCTAAAATAGTTGGTATATAATGTTGCTATTTAGATACATACTTCGTGTACAAAACTGAAGGTTACTAACACACAGTGCGCGCCGTCAATAAATAGTGAAAGATTTAAATATTTCACGTTTCTGTGATCAGCCTCTATATATTCAATATTTAAGTACTTTTACCAGTAAAATCGAACATTACTACAATATCTTTGTTATATAAAATAAAATATAAATAAAGGTAACTAATGTTTATGTACATTTTAACATAAGATTACGTAATATGTAGATGGTAAAATATTTTTGACCGGTAATGTAACTTCAGTGGTTTCTTATACAATGAGGATACCTCGTGACTTACCGAGCAACAAATCCGAATTTCTCTGCCAAACATGCCCACGGGCGTAATTCCGAAGTCTCCTACTGTATCTACCACTTCTGGGAAAATGCTGCGCGGCAATCTCAAGATATTTATCGCCCATTCAGCCCATTGCATCGTGAACGGATCAAATATGCCAGTGGCTGAGGCACATGAAGTGTCCATTACATGTTTTCCTATTATATAAAAAAGACAAGAGAAAGAAATCGCATGACTATCGATTAATCGGAACATTCTGTTGTATATGTAGAAGAAAAAAGAAATATCTTATCGAGATTTTTCATAAGAAATTTTAGAGAATTCTAAGATATATTTAGAAATATAAAAAATAACGGATGCAAATTACTCCCTACTTCTCCAACTTCTTACCCGTTAATTTATACAAAAACCAAGAGTCGACACCTCCGAATGCCACTTCGCCCTTATCGGCGGCTTTCCGGAGACCTAATATGTTCTCAAAAACCCATATTAACTTCATGGTGACCTGCAAACAAAAACAAAATCACTAATGACAGTTTAGATCAGACTAAATGCTTTAGATGATCTAAAGAATCAGTTGAGAATAATTCGTGTAAGACTAGTGTACAAACCTGCACATTCATAAATTTCATCACGCTGCCTGCCAGGAACCGTTTGTTCTTCGTGAGCATGTACAAAAAGTGCGAACCCATACGTAGACCCTTTATTATCAATGACCGATTCCACTCGTCGACTAAGGTCGCCGCTCGTTGATCTTTCCATGTTATAAATCTGAAATATCAGCGACGCGTAATAATGAAGCTTCGTTCTGATACGAAAGTATTTTTACCGATCGTCTTTATCGTGTCACGATATAATATTATATCCTTACCTGTGGAAAGGTAAACCGGTTTTTAAACTCCACGTGATGAAGGAAGCACGTTGTGACGAGATTCCCAAGGACTGAATTAATCTAGAATCGATTTTACTGCCTGCAATCATAAACAAGGCCAATTGATCTAATTCGAGTTGCGAACGTAAGACATATAGTTACGATAACGTAAAATAGAGCATACAAATAAAAAGAAGGCAGTCATGTGAGTAACGAAATTCAACTAACTATAGGAGCTAATCTATAATTATTCTTCCTTGTCTCGTCTTTATTTTCAGATTTTTCATTTTTATTTTGCAAGTACAGTCGAGAATTTTATTCACTATTGTGTTTTAATTGTGAAGATTTTCATGATTGATCATGGAAGAGAAAATTCCGCTACTCATACAATCGGTCGATAAAAGAAAAAAAAGAAAAAAAATGACAATAGAAACAATTCTATGAAATCGAGTCGAATGCTACGATAAAGCTTACAAATACAATAGACAATCTGAATTGGAGCTTCGAGCGAAATTATACACATGAATAGCAAGCATCTAAATTGATAGAAATAAATGCGACGGGTGTGGCTAACACCTAAGAATGGCATAATTTCTTACTTTTGATGTGTCCGATTGGTATCACCTCAGTTAACGATGACAAATTCTGGAACAGATCGAGATACAGAAATGAGGTTTAGCACACATTCGATGGGTAGCCGAGGTTTTAATTTAAGCCGACGTTAATCTTGCTTCTATGCGACAGGATCGATTGAATTTTATTTAGCTTCATCAATCGCATCTGTATAATGCGTCATGCGAAATTCAAAGATCAAATGCGTCTCAAATTGAAACCTCAAGTATCTACTGAAAAATGCGTGAAACCAAAGTTTTCTGCGTTCATCCATTCCAGATTATTCATTAATGGCTCATGAAAAGCCCCCTTTCTCCCCAATAACGCGATTATTTCGTTCCAAGCGTTCTTGTTTTAAATTTTGATTGTTGATACGAGGTGGTGTTACAAGTATTGAAGAATACGAGTATTATTATGTGTTATAACATTTTATTGTAAAAAAATCCATCTTTATACAAATTTTTGTAACTAAAACATTTTTATATCAAATTCGCCCCATTCTTTAAATTAATCACCATCCTATCTAGGCTATTCTCAGAAATTCTAGTTTTTATTATTACTTACTAATTGTATGCATTACGTATTAATCGTGCTTCTTTTTTGAACAAGAATTTATTTTGGCTCTTAAATAAATATGTAGGGTATTTAGCGGTACGGTTCGCATAATTTTTTAGACATTTTAAACAGTTTGAAAAAAGATGTAAGATGTAAAGTGAACGTTTATCTGCTTCATACATCCTATTAGAATTATATATTCCTTGTTCGCCAGATCATTTTATTGGAAAAGTAATATTAGGTCATTAAATATGAAATGTCCGATTTCCTTAAGTATAATACTAAGTTCGACAGTCGATATCTCTGGCATTTCATCTTTAAAGTTTTTGGTATTTCTTTTGTTGTGAAGGTATATCATCACTTCTTCAAATGTATGTTTTGGTCTGTGATTATCTTTCGAATTTTGTCTTTGTTACAGCAATTTTTGTGTAATTATGGATAAGTTAAAAGTTCATGTTATTTTCGAATATGAGTTCCGTCGTAGAACCAATGCAGCACAGACAACTCGAAATATTAACAAAGTGTTTGCTGAAGATGTGGCTAATGAACGTACAATATATCGATGGTTTGGGAAGTTTCGTTCTGGCGATTTTAATCTTGAAAACGAGCCACGTTGGTGACCTAAGACCAAGGATAATGATGAACTAAAGCTGTAGTGGAAGCAGATATATTTCAAACTATGTATGAATTAGCAGCAAGGTTTAACGTTACTATTCCAACAATATTGGATCACTTGAAACAAATCAGCGAGATAAAGAAGCTGGATAAATGGGTTCCGCATTAATTAAACGAGCGTCAGAAGAGAAGTCGTCTCGAAGCTTGCCTTTCTTCACTATCACGACGTAAAAGCAAAGCATTTTTACATCGTATTGTTACATGTGATGAATAGCGGATTCTTTTCGACAATTGCAAGTGTTCGGCACAATGATTGGATATGGATGAAATGCCGAAACACAGTTCGAAACCAAATATTCACAGAAGAAAACTAATAGTGTTTGTTTGGTGGTCCAGCGCTGATATCCACTGCAGAACCTGATTCATGAAACCTGATCAATCGATTACAGCGGATGTGTACTGTAACCAACTAGGCGAAATAATGAAAATGCTTGCGATCAAGCAGCCGAGATTGATCAATAGACACAGGTAATCCTCTTGTAAGACAACGTTCGACCACATGTCACAACGTTGCTCAAACTACAGGAGCTGAACCTGGAAACTCTCTGCCACCTACCGTATTCACCAGACCTTGTACCAACTGACTATCACTTCTTCCAGGCACTGGACCATTTCTTGCAAGGAAAAATATTCAATTCGCAACAAGCTGTGAACAACGTCTTCCATGATTTCATTGTAACCTGCTCTTCAGGCTTCTTCGCTGCTACATAAATAAGCTACCGTTAAGATGGCACAATTGTGCCGATAGTTTAAGTGCATATTTGGATTAATTATACTATTTCTAGTTTGAGATATAATAAATCGAACTTTTGATTCGAAATCGGACATTTCATACTTAACGACCTAATATTAAAACAGATATTTCGCATTAGCTCTGAAAATTGTATATAGAAAGTGCAGATATCGTTGTAATGTTGTCTTAAAATGTTTTTCATAATAATAATGTATTTTTCATAATAATAATAATGTTTTTCATAAAAATAGTCCAATTAAAACGGCTCAATTAAATAACGATCTATTATGCCGCACCAGACATTATATAATTTCTGTTATCATTCTATAAGTTAGAGTTTTTCTATTATTTTTAAATAGCTATTAATATTAATAAAAATTATGTTTTTGATAGTATGTTGAATTCGTTTTGAAGCATTCTATAATATTATGTAAAAAAAGATTTCATGACATCAATTTTAAAAAATTCGAGATGACCTTGATTTTTTATATGAAGAAATTTTTTTCAAATTTCTTTTATCGTAAGTTATAGTCTATATGAATTAGATGAACGTTCATCTTACAACCTTTTCTTTAAACTATCGGTAATATTTAAATCGTGTAGACGATTCGTGTATCGACTACGCTGAACACCCTATACATGTTACTTAGTTTCATAGACGTCAGCTTTAGTTATCAGATTTCGTTCGCCGCTTTCGTTAGTAGCAGTACGTATCCTGTACAAATTCTTAAATAAAGCAAATCATTTTCAATTTCAAAATCATTTTATACTACGTCTCGCATGTAACAACACACGTTATGAGAATTGCGTACATGGATCTCGCTTCGATCATTATTATGACGATTAAGAAAAGTTAAAGTTCAGTAGATTGATATTCTCAAATCGATTAGGCAACATGATGACGCCAAATAGCTTACCGTCTAATGTGTCCTTGATAACTTTCATTATTATCTCCCACAGATCATTGGGATCTATTTCCACGTAGCCAGGCTGTGGATAGATCAATTTTACCTAGGTTGAAAATATTTCTATTAATTACGATAACGAATAAAATAACATTCAATTAACTCCATAAAACTCCCGCTAAACAGTTAAATATATTTTAAATATAACATTGATTTGTTCTTTATATGGGCCAAGTTAAATTCAAATAAAAACGAAGTTAAGTGTTAATTAAAGTCTTATTTGTTCCAAATATAAAATTAAATTTAGGCTCAGTTTTGGTTAGATGCATATTAAATATTAATATGATCTATATATGCGCCTAGATAAAGTTAATCTGATAGTAAGATCATATTTAAATTTAATTTGGATGAATATTAAGAACATATCTGAATTAAATTACTTTTTAATTTAATATTTGGTTTTAATTTGAATTTAACTCGGTCCATATAAAGGACAAATGTGAACCATATTTAAAATGTATTTAACTGTTTTCGCAGGATTTCAAGAATATAGTGCAGTCTAACTTGATAACCCTTCATTTTTCCCACCACTCGCTTATCAACGTTATCATGTTATAACGTCATTAACGTTACACGCCGCTTCAAGAATTATCTGCACTGCGGCCTACGCTCCTCTTTCAACAATTTGCCGTTCAAAAATGCGAAAATTCCGTATCGAGGATAATCAATCGCGACAAACCTTCTCCGATGAGGAAGCTACTGTGATTGCGTTCTTGTCTAGGATATGGAAGCGTACTGTGGTGGTGCCGATGTCGAGCGCTGCGACGTACATGATGATCACTTCAATGTAGCGTATTCTTGCGGAATTTGAAAATTTCTTAAGATGCACACGATGTATTCACACGAGTGCACCCACGCACTCACATACGATCGATCGATCGATGTAGCAGCGATTGCAAGTCGCTAGATCTGTTCGCTGGAATTCTGTCCCTCCAATACACCAGCGAATATCGATTCAACACACATTTGCAGTTTCGACGATTTGAGTACAAGTTACCGGTGACGTGAAACAGGCAATATTAACGAACCACGGATCAGAGTATGAACGAGCAAACTGGTTGGTGATTGACACACAATTCTACTCTCATGCACACTCGCTTATCGCCACTCAACTGCCACTCGACGATTGTAATAGTCGTGCATCACGCATGCTCTTGAACGACGGAAAGCTTTATCAAAAGACTAACTACGCACTACATAATAAAGCAACAACTCTAGACTGGTTTCCTCGGTTGTGAGTAGGGCAAATGACAAGTCGCATGCTGAACATCGCATCGCATAATGGATCAAACAAGATGCTAACACACGAACGTAAGCTAAACAATTTTTCCATAATCATTGTTCATTAACAAATTTAAGCTGCAAATAGTTTTACGCAACTAAAAATGACCGATTTTCCAAACAATCTCTTTAATATTCATATCAAATATCGTTTTGAACCTTATAACTCAAATAGATTTCTTTTCCTTTTATCCATGAAACTTCATCCCATGAAGCTTCAAAACAGTGTAGCTTTTCTATATGCAAATATTTGGATATATCAACTTTTCACATCTTAATAATATATTTCTTTTTGATAAAGAAAAATACTTCTGGAATATGTAAACATTAATGTAACAAAAATGGCAACTATTCTTCTGTATCCAAAGAATCAAATATCATGAACAAATTCAAGTTATTATATAGAAAAATAGCCAATAGTAGCCAAAGTTTTGTTGATTTTACATATTTAAATAAACCTTTTATTTAACGAATCCATTGATTGCAGCTGCCCAGATGTTCATTCATGAAATGAAAGAAAATCTCGGAGGGACATATAGAGCAAAAATTATCACACATTGATGATAATGACGAGAAGTTTCATTTGTTTAATTTCGCAATTTCTAAGTCATAGATTGTGTGCGTATGTGCATGCGTGCGTATGTATGTGTACATGCACACACATGTATATAAATATATATTTAATATTTGATTTGGTTTCTAAGTTAGCGCCGCATTCTTCATGAATTTGTTTCCGACGTTTCATAAACATTTCAGTATTTCTTCGTGAGGTACGACCAAAAATTTCAGAAAAATAATCAAGAAGTGGAACACACATGTACGCGGTTTATCTTTGCATCCACATCCTCTCCATGAGAAAGTTACGAGTTATAAATAGAATGTTAAAATTTACCTGCGACCTCGAAAAATGCGACCAATGGAAAAATACAATTTCCCAAAATATTGAAAACTTTGATTATAGAAATATAGACTGCCAATAGCTAACTTCAGACTGGTAGCTAAGATGTGTCGCGCCTCTATCAACTAAGTGAGGAATCCCAGAACTAAAATTCTGTCATTTATCAAATGCTTGGTCTAACGCAGAGCTCGGCAAAAAATGCACGCGACGGCCGATTTTCGACTATCTCCGCCCACCGCTGTTCCCTTTATCTCGCCACTCCGCATGCTGCCAACAAGCCGCTCGAGCCTCAGGAGCGTGTTTCCAACAGTTTTCCACGTCACCCATGAGGTACTATTGTTGACGCGTTTTTTTTAAAGTGGTATCCCCAGTAGGCCTAATCCACTGATGACTGTAACAACCCGTAACTAATTAAACAGAAGCGAAATAAAATATGTTAAATAAAGAATATTTAATTCAATTTTCGGCGTCTTTTATTAGTAAAAGCGGAAACGTCAATTTGCATATTGCATGTAGCGAGCCGCATAAGACGTGGTAAGGAATCGTCGTTTAAAGAAGAACGCTTCTCATTTTTTATAAACTTCATTTTTGAAAATGAAGTTCTTTTTTGAAACTTAATTTTTGAAACTTCATTTTTGAAAATGAAGTTTATAAAAAATGAGAAGCGTTCTTCTTTAAACGATGATTCCTTACCACGTCTTATGCGTCTCGCTACATGCAATATGCAAATTGACGTTTCCGCTCTTACTAATAAAAGACGCCGAAAATCGAATTAAATATTCTTCATTTAACATATTTTATTTCGCTTCTGTTCAATTAGTTACGGGTTGTTACAGTCATCAGTGGATTAGGCCTACTGGGGATGCCACTTTAAAAAAAACGCGTCAACAATAGTACCTCATGGGTGACGTGGAAAACTGTTGGAAACACGCTCCTGAGGCTCGAGCGGCTTGTTGGCAGCATGCGGAGTGGCGAGATAAAGGGAACAGCGGTGGGCGGAGATAGTCGAAAATCGGCCGTCGCGTGCATTTTTTGCCGAGCTCTAACGCAATGTTAACGTGATAATTAATACAACAAAAAGCGTGAATATGGTTATTAATTGTTTCGTACAAGGCTGCAAATCATCAAAATATCGTAGCAAAAAAGAAACAGAGAAACGTTCTGTGCCTTGCTATGAGTAAGTTAAAAATTTAATATTTAAATCTAATTTCTATATTTTGTGTTAGGATGAAATATAAATATAATTATAATGTTACTTATTTTTTTAGCGAATAAAGTTGAATATTGTACGATTTGAAGAGTAACATTTTTACTATTATTTGCAGATTTCCTAAAGATGAAGATCTTGGGGAAAAGTGGATAAATGCTTTAGTCAGCTCGAATAAGTAAAGTAATGGTAGAAATTCAACGAAATATAGTCGAATCTGTATTAAACATTTCGCATTTAATGCAATAGAGCAATTTGGTATGAGTGTTCATCTGAAAAAGGATGCAGTTCCTACTATATTTCCAAATAAGCCTCATGAAGATAAGATATAATTGCATTATTAGTAATCAATTATGTAATTTTAGAGTTGTACATTTATCATGAAAAATTGCAATATCTTTTGAAATATACAATATTGTATAATACATATAAAATAATATATATAGAGCATTATGTGATTAGCAAAAAAATTGTATATAATATTATACATAATTTAATATTTAAATCTACATATGTAAGGGTCATTATGTTATATGTGAAACAAAAAAGTTTAATGTAATATGCAAATATATATATATATAAACTAATATTTTATAAAGTATATGATTGATTTATCATATTGATTTGTTTATATAATGAGGAACTATCTACATGTGAAGACATGGAATCTGCTATCCACTCTGATGAAATATATATTAATTATACTTCCAGACATATTCCAAATGATATAACAGAACATAATAAATTGCAAGAAATAGAATTAGTGCAGAAACCAGTGACAGACACAGAACATGTGTGCGTATTTAAAGAAAGACAATTATTAGTAATGACTTTGAGTGATGATTAGTAATGACAATTATTATTTTATACACCTTAGTAAGAATTATAATATTCCTATATTTTTGGATGCTGCACACATAATTAAATTAATACGAAATACATTAGCTTAAATTTTGTATGATGGTGATGACAATGCAATTAAATGGGAATATTTTATAAAATTAAATAATATGCAACAAAACGGTTATTTCCATATGGCGAACAAACTCACTTCTAAACACGTGCAATGGTATAAAAATAAAATGTGTATAAAATTGGCTACACAAACTTTAAGCGAAAGTTGTTCTGTTACTTTTGAACAATTATATGAAGATCGACACCCTGATTTTTCTAATTGCATTGTTACTGCCACATTCTGTAGAACTATAAACGATATTTTAGATTGCCTTAATTGTAGAAACATATATAGTAAAAAATTTAAACAACCTTTATCAATAGGTAATGCAAAGAAAATTTTTATTTTTTTTTTATGAATGTATTCAATATTTATCAGTATTAAAACTAGAGGTTACTGGAAAACCGATTATACAAACAAAGTCGAAAACGGGCTTTATTGGTTTCATCATATGTATGAAAAATTTGAAAATGTTATTTTATGAGTATGTAGAAAAAGGATACTTAAAATATATAATATCTTACAAACTTTCGCAAGATCATTTAGAATTTTTTTTTCGTACATCAGAACCATGGGAGGATACAATAATAATCCAAACACAAAGCAATTTATAGCTTCTTATAAACGTCTTCTACATCACAACAAAGTAAAATCCTCCCTACAAGGCAATTGTGTTCCTTTGGATACTTCCATATTAAATGTTTCATGTGCCAAACAGCTAATCACGTTAAATACTGAAACTGGAGATAAAACTTGTCAGACAGATGAGGACATCTTAACAGATGAGTATTTTATCGATGATACACTTATAGATAATTGGAAAGTTTCACAATCTATATATCTTCCTGAAAATCATGTAATGATATATATTGCAGGATATATTGAGAAGAAATTGTTATGTTCTTTAAAATGTGATGTGTTGTGAACTACTAAATGACTGCAAAGAATTCACATCAAAGTTCATTGAACATAAAAGTTTGGACTTCTTAAGGTATCCATGAGTAGATACTTACAATATTATAACGAAAGGAACAAAAGTTTTTGATTTTCGGCTAAATAGTCAGTTGACTAGTTTCAATGCTTTTCATAAGATGATTCCCAATACTTTAAGAAATATTAATATATCTACATTATTTATAAACTTTGATATGCATACACATGAATTTATGGAAGTGTTACGTGTTATGGAAAACCATAAATTTATATTAATAAAATCAATTGTTTTTCTTTTTTAAAATAAAATTGTTTCATTATGGCAAAACTACCACATTAAAAATACACCATACTTTTACCAGGCATGATTTAACAAAAATTATTCTTTTTAAGGGTCAGTTTTGTTATGGATATAATGTTTAAATATTATTTTTAATATTTATATTTATTTTGCCTTAATTATGCTTGCATTTGTTAAATTGCGTTATTTCTTGTTAGTCTTAATTATGTTTGCGTTTGTTAAATTATGTTTATTAAAAGATAATATTTTTGTTCTAAATTCAATATATATTTTAATATACATATATTCTTCTTTATTGTTGTATATTTTGTATTATATTGCATTTATTCACTCCAAACTTCTCTTTACATTTTATAATTATGTAATTTATCACCTCATAATCTAATAAAATCGACTAAATTAACTAAAATTATTTTGCATTTATGATATATAGACTATAAAATATCTTTTATTATGATAGATACATCTTAAGATATGTTTAAATTTCCTGGTTTTTGGTCGATAGGGTTGGGCTTAAATCTCGAAAAATATCGAAGATGTTGGATATATTTTTCAGTACAGCGATGAATGGGAAAAATGGGGTACTGATAGTCCATATTTCTATAGTCAAAGATTGAAAAGTTATAAATTGTTAAGGTAAAATTCTTATTCAGGGGAGGATACTGCAATGACACTGATCTTGACACATATTATCAAGAATATTATTCTGAACATGCAAAAAGTTTTAGCGATCACCCGTTGTTTGTTAAAAAATTATTAACAAATGAAATTATATTAATCGAGCATGCAATAATTTTAAATGTATCAACATGCCCTGTGTATTAACTATGTCCAGTCTTCCTATCTTATATAAATCTTCATATATCTTCTACATCATCTTTGATATTTTCACAGAGTAGTATTACCATCTTTTTTGAATGTGGGACTTCATCGGAAGATGTAGTTTGATATCTATAAGGTTTTCCAATATTGTGTCCTGGCCGATCAATCTTATAGCTATAATTATTATAACCTGAATCAATCTCATGTAGAAAGGAAATAACGAATGATATAAGCTGTGAATGTGAAGCCGTGAGAGAAAGTGGACATTAACCATGTCATATATAAACGTAAGCTGCATGATGAGGAGAGAAATTATATGTAAAAGATTGGACAAGTTAAAAAAATGAATGTTATTTGCTATAGACAAGAGTGAGTGAGAAGGAGGATTGGGAAACACTTCAGATTATTTTTCATTTTATGAGAAAAATAGGAATAATAAAAACGGGAGATATATTCAAAAAAATATATGACTTACTTTTCAGAAAGATAAAAGCTAATATAGTTGAATAAGCCTCGGGGTGGCAATCCCTCAATAGAGCAATGATTGAAATGATTGAAATAATCACAATATTAGAACAAAAAAGAAAAATTTCGTACACAGGTTATGTAGCGATTTCCGCAAAATAGATAATTTAATACAATATCTGTCTATACTTACGTATTAGCGTGTTAACCTATACGTGTTTAACGAGATTTATACAGGCTGCGTTCCAAAATGCGCTGACAGTACTGACCAGCCCCCCGTTTCTCGTAGTTTCAGGTGTCCACTTATTGAAGTCGCGGCGCTGGCAACAGTCAACACAGTTAGTATATATGTGTAATGTTAAAGGAAAAAGGTTATATGATATAGGACCAGTAAATGCGTTCCTACATATGTTACACTTTCTAAATTTTAATATGTAGTTACATAAATATACTGTTATATGATAGATAATACAATCTGTAATTTCAGGTAGATAATAATACTTTATTATGAACTTATTGAAAGTCCATTTGCTTTTTTCACAATAGCATAATACAAATTTATATGTATATGTTACGAATTCTTACTATAGATGTTTGATCCATAATAATATATATATATAAATTAATAAAAATATAAATATATATATATTTCTTTATAATTATATAATCAAAATGTATAACACAAAATAAAATAGATAGTATAAAATAAGGTAGGTACATAAATAATAAAGTATTTTTGTTGTTTTAAGATATTTTTTATTTAATTTTTATAATATTTCGCAGTTTTTTTAATATTTTGACTTTGTTTCTTTTTCACATTATTAATTTTATGACAATATTGCCTCATGCGCATACAGATGTAAAATTCGATTATTTTTGCTAAAATAGCATCACCATGTTCTTTACATGGAAAAGACAAATTTTCTGTATAAATATTATCTATAATGGTCTCATATACATCAGCACTATGACAATATTTTGAAAATAAGCTTTCTAAGTAAATTATAAATTTAAACATGTTTAAATTTGGATGTGTTAGACGACCATCAGTTTTGATATTTATTAACAGCGCTGCAGGAAAAGGCTACACGCTATGGGATCAGTAATAGCGTTCTTACATATATCACACTTTGTAAATTTTAAAATATAATTACATAAATATCTCGTTGTACAATAGACGATACAATCAGTTATTTCAGGTAGATGATAGTCATGATCTATTATTATATCATCAAGAATCCATTCACTGTATTCAACAGCATGATCCAACTTGTCTTTTAATTTTGTTAAGGATTTATCTGGTTTTTCATATAATTGTTTTATATCAGATATAGAAATTATAGGTTTTGTACTATCTGCAATAGAACAATTTCCATAACATGGGGGCTCAAGGATGCTTGAAGTACTCAAAATTTTATATAGTTGGAGAAAGGTAGGGGTTCCGGGATGGTCATTAGATCCTGCTGCTTGTCTTATTGAACCAAAAAATCTCTATGGAACAATATATAGAAACATATTAATACTAACTTGTAATAAAAATAATGTTTTAAATATTTCCTATAATAAACGTTCAAAGGTATTACGAAAAATTAAATATTTTTTGTCACAGTTCTAAAAGGTATTGTATATATTTTTAAATATATCATAGAATATACACACACATGAATTGATGGATTGATTTTATAATCAATATTTTAAGATGATCTAATGTTTTTATGTACTGTTCTAACAGTGCAAGGTTTTCCTGGGGACGATCCAAAGATGTTCTAAGTATGTAAATAATGTTAGGATTGGGTATATATATATATATATATACATGTGTCTTTCATAATTAAATGTTTGCATATATAGACATATATATATCCAGTCAACAAAATGACATCAAGTGACATTAATAATTTATTAATGACGCCTTTAATGTCAATAATACATCATTAAGACGTCTTTAGATGTTATTCTGTTACCTGGAGACACATCCCAGCAAATACGATGTTACATGCAACGTACATGTTAATTAAAATTTCCTACTCAACAATGTAGCTATTATGTAACATGTGTGTTATATAACATTTACATGTTAAGTAGGAAATTTTAACTAACATATATATGTTACATGTAACATTATGATTACTGAAATATGAGCTTTGTTATCAAACCTCGAGTGAATCTTGATTCAAGCGGCCTATTAAAACAGAGGGAAAACCAGCATTTGTCGTTAAATATTTTACTATATCTAATGTTGATTTTATCGTCACGCGAAGACCTTCAGCAATTTGTCTTGTTAAAAAATTTTCCTCTTTAATAGTACTATCAAGGACACGTTGCTCCCAAGCATCTAATTTTTCAAGAGATATCTCTAAAATTTATTAAGAAATTGAACGTTTAGCATAATATTAGCTTCTTCAAAATACATAAATATATAGACAAAAAACGAATATAAATTACAAAACAATTATTAACTAATTGAAAATATTTAATTTACTTTGTAGTCCGTATTTTCAACAGTCAAACCTTCAGAAACTTTATTTCGATTTAGTGCATCAAATAAGTTATTTATCCATTCACAAAAGTTTGCAATGTTATCACATTCTTGTAATTCAGGTAAGAAATTTTTATAAAATCTCAATCCATGAGACATCGATTTACTAAAAACCTATAACAATGGCGTTTATATAAAGATATATTTTGTAAATTATTGGACTGTTCTATTAAATAATCTGTTAAAACGTTAAATAAAATACTGTTAAGATGTTTTACTTGAGTAGCTAGACGAACTCTCATTTTAGCTGCGTTAGTAAGTATTAAATGATTGGTTGTTATTTTTGGACATATTCGCATTAGAGCTGGTAGCGATTTATCTTTATTATGTAATATTCGGAAATAATCCCATTTGATATGTTTTTCATCAGGATTGAGCTAAAAATAAAAACGAAAGAGATTAAATATTTTAAATTTTCGCATTGTGAATAAATATTTGACTTGGTTTCCAACTTTGCGCCGCATTCTTTGTGGATTTGTTTTTGGCGATTCGTGAGAATTCGTAAGAATTTCATTTCACTTTCTTAGAATAAGGATCGATTTTATATTGAATATACAGAATATCAAATTGATCCTCATTTTCAAGAAATGAAGTAAAAGGTTCACAAAACGTCAAAAACAAATCTATGAAGGACGCGGCATAACGTCAAAAGCTAAATGAAATATAAGAGAAATTCACTATTTTTTCGAAAAACAATAATAATACTTCGATTTTCTGAAATCTCTTTTAATAGTACATTATGCACGAAGTAACACACAACCACATAAAAATTGAGTTATTATTTTACCTGTAATGATGTACTATATAATCGATATTTCTAATAGTTTTGATAAGGTGTGGTATATCTGAGAATACATATATATAACGTCCGTTTACAGTGGGGTGATTAAAAACATTAATTAAATCATCTTTTTTTCCAGATACACCTACAATATTCCAAAATTTTCTATTAGTTGCAGCACCGTCAGTAATTATACCATGGACTTTAACATTGATATTTTCTAATAATGCAATAGCCTATAATATGAAAAAAATAAAAACAGTATGAAGCATATTACATATTTAGCAATTTTTTGTTGAATTATGAGAAAAATATGATATATATAAAAATATTTGCACTGCATATTGTATATACCTTAATTACTAGTTGCGCAAGTACTTCTCCTGATACAGGCCCCTGATACAGGAAGCAAACACTGCTACTGGTTGGGAATAAGAATCTGCAAGTGGCTGAAACATTATTACTAATCCATGGTCTGCTTTATCATCAAGATTAAATGATGGTATCCCTTCACTTCCAAAGTCAATCAACCCTGTATATGTGAGATTCTTAGAGTTCACATTAATAGACTCTCTAAGATGTATTTCATCGAGCAAAATTACACCATGTTTTTGTCTCTCTTCTTTTTTTTCCAATGCTAATTTAAACATCTCAAAAAATTTTGTGTCGAAACCGCATGGTGTATCAATAAGTGAAATATATCTAAAACCAATTCATACATTGCATTGTTATATAAAAATCGCCATATACTCATACCATATTATACATATTTCTAAGTAGAAATTATATTAAAATAATAAAAAAACGTATATTACCTTTGCATAGTTCTAATACATGGAAGGGGTAGTATTTTGTTTTTTCTTAAAAAGTTATAAGCTTTAGGTGACTTCATATGTAATAACATACGTAATAGTATCCAATCTTCACTGTATCTGTGACCTTTAATATTTGTATGTTTCGCAGCTTTTATTATTTCTTGTATTGCAGTTAACTGATGTTGAGAAATTTGTGTTTCTTTTAATTGGTCTTTTATGTTCTCTATTGAAATTTCTTTTACTTTCATCATATTATCTGCAAGTTCTTTTCTCAATTTATTTGATATATATTTAGCTCTATTTTTTGCTTTTTGTGCTTTATAATATCGTTTGCGTAATAATAAAATTTTCTTTTGTTTTTCTGTTTTTGATACAGCTATTTTTATTCTTTTAATTGATTTCATTATTTTTCTCCGACGGTATTTTTGATTTATAGATTTGTTTGCAATGGCACAAAATTTACATTTCTGAGATGAAAGTAATAAACATTTCTTGTGTCTCCATATACCATTAATATCTTTAAAAGCTTCATTATATTCAACATCTTTAATCTCACTTTTATTTGTACCACAACATATGTCAAGACTATCAAAAGAAAATAATATCTCTTGTAGCAGTTCTATTCTATTTATATTATTATAAATCTGTATGTGTGATGGAGTATTTAAAACGGGTTGCTTTAAGACATTTATTTGTAATGTCATATCTTCTTTGAGTATGACTTCTTTGATAGGGTTAAATGAATATCTGTCATTATAATTTTCTATTTTGTTGCATGTTGCTAAAAAAAATACCAATAATCGTGTGTCACTACTGCAATATTGTATGTGCATCCATTGACTTGGCATATTAAACTGTTTTCTGTTTATACTATCTATTAAGCTATCAAATGATAACATTGTCGTACGATCCTCTATTGTATTATTTAATGATGGTACTATCACATGTTCATTTTCTTCATGTTGTTCAATATGCAGGTCATGTACATTTTGATCAATATGTATAGAATATATATCTTCTATATTTGGGGTTTCTTCAAACCAGGGGAATTGTGAAGGCACAACCCCTTTACGTAGCCTTGGAATTTTAAATGGCGCAGACTAAAGAAAATATTTACAATATGACAATTAATAATGACAAGTATAACTTACATAATTGTTATTTAAATGATTATTATTTAATAAGTCAATAAGTGAATATTGCTGTTATATATATATAAATTATTAAACATTATTGACTATATTGTCTACTTTATACTGATTATTTAATACTTGTACTAAATAGTAACTTTCTATTTAATAATTTTAATTTATGCATGTAAACAATGGTTTATTAAACTAGTATAATAGTCTTTTTGATGAATATTATATCAGTATTAAATGATCGGTGTAAATTAAGCAAATGGAAAAATGACTTAGATAACTAATATAACTTACCACACCAAGAACATTTCCCTTCTCATCACAAATTTCACGTTTCCACAAAATATCACTACTTAAAAAGTGATGATGGCATACAGCTTGTTTTGAGTTGATAGTTATATCAACTCAAAACAACTATATCGTTTCTCCTTAAAGCTGCTTACCATGCTTTTCTCACATTTTCGTCCTTTGGCACATAAAAAAAATGAACTGTTTCATGATTAGAAGTGTAATCTGATGTACAACCAAGTGCAATACAGCGCGACATCATTTAATTAAATTAAGATTACTTTTATTAGATACATATTTGATTTTACTTTTTATTTTGTTATTTTTCTCGCGAAGCTTTAACACACTTCTAACCTCAAGTCATTGAAATTACAGACGTAAACACATGGTGACTGTTGCTAGCGCCACGTAGCGGCTTGGCTTCATTACGTAGACATACCGTAACAAAGGATATAATAGCAAATGTCAGGGGCCTGGTACTGACAGTACTGTTTTCACGTTCCGAAATCATTTTCAGTATGCTGTAAGATAACAAAACTTACTACCTTATTCACGAAAATAGGTTCTAGGGAATTAAGGCCCATTTATGCTGGCCGTAACCGTATGCCGGTAACTTAACGGCCGTTAACTTATGCCGCTAATTTAGACTTTCTGGTTTATAATGGTTTGCTGTATACCGTAAATCATAGATAAATTCTAATATAGACTACCGTTTTGAGTTTATTAAAAACTGTCAAACGTGTATTATCTCACTTTTAACTATTTTGATATTCTTTGTATTAATGAAATGGATTCAAATAAGGTAGTTGTATGTGCAATGTTTATAACAATCATTGGGTTAACATTATGCTGCTAATGCAACATCAACTGCTAAAGCACACAGAAAAAAACGTCGTTGGGCAGTACGTCCAATAAATAAACAAAGAAGAGACAAAGGACATTTTCATAATTTCCCAATGAGCAAAAGAGTGCAAATTGAGCGCAAATTGGCAGCAAATTCGATCAAAACTTGATGCCAAAATCATATGCAACTGTGTCCTCTTTAGGATTGTGTTTTGACGTCAAGGCTTGATGCGGGGCAACTTGCAGTAAATTTGCAGCAAAAACAACGCAAGTTTTGCTGCGCATAACTTAGCACCAAATAAGCACCAAACACTGAGCAACACTTGCGCACAAGATACGAGAGCAAATTGGCAGCAAATCCGCAGCAAGCCTTGCACTCAATCAGCTGATTGAGATGGTGGCGACGTACGTTGGGTTTTAAATGGCTCCTAACCTATATATTGCTAAATTTTAATTACAATTCTGCATTTAAAAAGGAAAAGGTGTATATAGAAATAAATATTTGACAAAACAGACTGTGTAATTTATTATATAAATATATATACATATAAGATCACGATATTCGTAATTATCGTTATTTACATGTAAACGAAAGGTGAGAAATGAAATATATGCGGACATATTGACTTGTGTATTCTATATAATTTCTATATAAATATTTTACAACTATAGATACTATTCTAAATTTTGAAATTTTGACTACAAATTCATAATCAGCAATTCTAAAAACCTTATGTAAGACGTGAATTAGACGCAGATTATTTCTAGAAAAAAGTCAGACACGAAAGGGTTAAGTCACATTGCATAAGTTTTTATGTTATGACTACGAAAGAAATATTAGTATACAAAACTATTCAGACTTCTTATTTTTACTTTTCACTACATGAAACGAGCTAACACGCGCACGGTAATCGTTACATACTACAAGAACTTACGAGAAAAGATTACAAAAAAAGTATCAAAACTTGCGACCAATTTTTCACGCGTCAAGAGAATACTTAGAAGGAAAGATCTCTTTCCCATTTCTTCGCGAGAAATTCACGATATCGCGTTCTAAATTAACGTTCGCTCAAATATTTTCAGCTAAGAGTCCCGTCTTTTCGGGACTGACGATGATACGGTCCGCCGGCGGAGATGCTGCGCAGTGCGACGCCTAGCGATTTGAAACCCACATACGCCAAAAACTATTCCCATTGGGCGACCCAACCAGATACACGCAAATCGTCTTCCACAGTTTCGATAAGGACGGTGACGATTTCGTCAGCTTCAGCGATCTTCGTCTTTCACAGCATCGATCGTGAACGGCATGGTCGATCAGCTCTCTTGGATATTTGGATGAGCAGTAATCGCTGTTAGTAACGGACTGTCTGATTCCAGGTTCATTTTCGAGCGCAACCTGAAAGATTTTTATTTCGTGTCAGTTAAGAAGTTCGGTTTGATTTTCTGTAACTTCTTCGGGCACAGACTGACCACTTTGTACTTTACCTTTTTCTTGCTGTTTAATGATGGCTGTGCAGAGAAAATTTATATATATAATCATTTTTCCTCGGAATAATATTCAAAGTTAAAAAGTGACATTTAAAAATGTTAATATTAGTCGCAATAGAAATTTTACTTGATTATTGGATATTTATTAAATATTTGATCACTGATACTTATTGAAGTCAATAATTTCGAAGGTTATAACATGCAAAATACTCTCTGGACTTACTTTTTATTAGATTCTACGATTTTGATGGAGACGGTTGCATCACGAAGCGAGAAATGTTGGTCATAATATCCGTGATTTATGAGATGGTGCAGGACGCGCAGACCATCCAGCCCGCAGTTAACATCCAGGTGGACAAGTTCTTCAAGGAGATGGACACAGACAGAGACGTAATAGTCACCAGGGAGGAATTCATAAGCGGTTGTAAAAATGTACGAGCAATTAATTTCCATAGCGTCTCGCGATGCGATATCGTTATTTTAGTGATAATGAATAGTAGAAACGTGTATACATTTTTAAATTTAATAAATATTTTATCTTCTTACAGGATACCATTATATACAACCAGTTGAGTTTATTTAATAAGATTTGGTGACCGAATGAAAACATCCTTCAGAGATTAACGAGCAATTTATCCACACATGCGTAAAGCCATTAAAATACTTGTAAAAACTCACCCGATTTCTCCTCTTAAATAGTACATACATTCTCTATGTCGTTTATCGTGAGAGTTCCTGCGCAATATGTTACAATCGCAATATCACCGTAAATGATCAGTCCATTTCATTAATATCACATACAAAGGGCTTTCAGAACAGTCTCTTTTGTGAAATGTAAAACACGCAGGCGAGGAAGAACGCGAAGGCCAATGTAATACTTCACCAGTGACTTCGCATTTACCATATTTTCCTAAGAGCTTTCCCGATTGCACTATCACTTGCTCTTGATGCTTCAGCTCGTTTCTCGTGTTATCAACCTTGTCAGAGGATGTTACTGAAACAACAGCAAAATCAGTAGAATCGTAATAATTATTCTTAAACAGACAATATATAGTGAGACGATAATAATAAATAATAATTTATCTAACAAAGAGAGAAATTACATGGTGCAGAAGTAATCCTTGCGGCGGTAACGCTTTTTTTCAGGTGATTCTCAAGATTTGAAGGTCACCTTTGTTTTTTTTAATGGAATGCTGTTTCTGAGTTTATTTTTCGATAAGTTATTAAAAGAAATACAATCACCTATAATAAAGAATGATGCAAAATCAGTTATGATACAAAAAAACATTTTAATAAATTTTATTACATTTTTAATTAAAACATTTTATTTAAAAAATAACTTAGGAAAAAATGATAAAGGATTTAGATTTTAAAGCTTAATTTACTTAGAAAATAAAATTTTACTACTATAAGACAATTGTTTCAGTACCATGTATTTTCTGTTAAATATTTTTCTATTCTCACATCTCATATGTTCAAGATATTCAAGATAGGATAATAGCTGCTTCATTCTGCATGATAGATATCTAATAAATTCAATATTTTTATGAAATAATTAAAAAATATAGTACGTACACAATATGTCCAATATATCAGCACTTCTCTGAGTTGTCTCAGCTAGATGCCTTACGATGCTGAATAATTTGTCTGTGATTTGGCTAGAAGAATCTATCAAACTTTATTTGTCTCGTTGTTTACGAAGAGCATTTTGCCACTCCTCTGGCAAGGAGAGCAGATCCTCCCTAGCTAATTTATCTATTTCTATGATACAAGTGCTAACGACATTAGCCTTGCGAAAGACCACCAAGAACATATTTAATTGCTCCTTATAGCTGTCAACGATGGACAACAACTCAGTCTTCTTCTTCTCATTTGGTTCGGTTTCAGCAACAGACACTAATCGCTCTATGGAGGATTCTAACACCGTAATTTTGGTTCTACCTTCGGTATTGAATTCATCTAATGCTTTCAACAGCCCAGTGCATTGTTATATGTCCTTAACAGAAAATACATGGTGATTTGTTATTTGGCTTATCAGAATATAATTCCTAACATATTATTTATTATTGTAAATATGATCCTACTATTTATTATTGTAAAACATGATGTTAATTTTCTCTTCTTCTTTCCTTCTTATTTTTCCAGAATTGATGTTAATCTAAAGTTGAGATTGAGGTTATATCTCATAGTTTATGAGATAGAATCATACATATATATACATATATTTACTTGTATTAAAGCGTTCACTTGAAGATGATCCTTCACAATATCCTGACGTATCAGTTCTACCATGTAATTCTCGAAATCCATTTATGTGTAAATTATTTACTCCTACGTGTCACTCCTCTCTGCATGCTACAACTGACAACTGACAACAAAACTCTGGGGCTCAATTATTTGGTCTGTTCTTTTCAGCTGCACTGCGGTCACTACGGAACTAGTGCAATAAGTTAGAATGAGACAACTATATTTTTTCTCACTTTAACTTATTGCACCAGTTCAGTAGTGCAGCTAAAAAGAACAGACCACTTGAAAGCGTATGAGATATGTCGCATGCGAGAATTGTCGCATGACATCTGGGACTCAATTTCTGACGGCGTGCGAATGAGATGCGCATACGAAAATCTATATTATATGTAACGTAAACTGTACATTTTCGCATACGCATCTCACTCGCACACCGTCGGGAATCGAGCCCCTGTGACAATTGTCGCATGCGACTCGACAGCGGTGTTGTCGCTACTGTCAGGAGACTCTTAACCAATAGAGAAAAAGCAATAACAAAAGCGGGAATTTTTCTCCACATGACGATTAATAGAGATGGATACAAAAAGCAGATATAATATTGATAGATATGGAATCAAGTAACTTACTTCCACAGATGCATCTAATGCTGAAGATCTTTTTGGATGATGGTATTGCTCTACGATATCAATAATATTGTCAGCCTGTCTTCTAGTTAAATGAAATAATTTTATGAATTGGTTTTCTGGAAGTTCAAATAGATCTTCTCGGGTTCGGAAATGTTTCCCATTTCTTTGTACATGTCTTTCTGCTTCAGCAAGCATATCAGCACCAATAATATTTACCATATTGGCCATGTTAACCAACTTCTGTAACAAAATTATTTAAGAGTATACGCTCGAACAATGTATATAACTAATGTGGGATGTTTCCAAAACTTACCTTATTCAAAATGCAATAACATAGGCAACAATATAAGCTATGTTCTGATATTCACTGTCAATACTGAAAATATATAGTTTGTGTCACGTAAACTATAAATTTTCAGCGCTGGTAGTAAAATTTGGTAAATCCAAACTTTTGAAGTTAAGAATTAAAGCTTAAGGCCGATTTCTCTCAGTAATAAATAAGATAAGCCAATAAGAAAAATTATTTAGGCACATGTACACGTTTTCACGCACGTTTCGATCTGGTTTGGCAAAATGTCCGACAACGAAGAATATGTTGCTGACACTGCTCAGGTAGAACAGAAAATCACGATGACATCAAAATGACATCAAAATGATGAGAAAAACTCTTTTTCTCATCATGATTCGGTCATTTTCTTGTCATTTTGATATCATCATGATTTTTTGTTCTACTTGGGTGACGACGAAGTTTTAATAACAATTATACAAGCAAATCCCTGTTTGTGTGCAAAAGATAATAAATATTATAAAAATCACAACATAAAGGAAATGAAATGGGAAGTGATTGGTAAAGCTTAGACCAAATAGCTAAAAGCTTATTACACCTATTGTAGACCCGGCCTAATGAAAACATATAATAAGCACAAATTAAATTAAGTAAGAAAGAGATATGTATTAGTATAGTATAAGGAGGTATTAAATATATGCTTGTACCTTCTATCATTTTTGCCAAGAGTTTCATTGTACTTAACACCAGTCCACCAGTCATCTTTAATCCTTTGCACTCCACGCGTTTTCTTATCACTGCTTACTCTGGCAACTCCGGCAGCACTTTTGCAGTGGAGCGTCTGGGAAAGAGAAATTTTACTTTGAACGGGAAAAATTACAAGTGCTTGTAATTTCAAAAAGCAACTAGAGGTATTGATGTTAATACTAGAATGTCTCCACAGCGAAGCCACCGGAGTTACGAAATAAATGATGGATGTCTCCACAGCGGAGCCAACGGAGTGCTAAGGGTTAAATTCAATTTTACCTATAGTTATAAATTATTTATATAGAATCAGGATACATGATTCAAACAAAGATGAATTTTATTGGTATAAGATTATTTTATAAATAATAATTTTCTGCTGACCAACATATAAAACTGTAGGTCTTCGCTTTCGTTGATTTGGAACAGATACCTCACAGCGATCTCCAATTTTACATAAACTGATTAAACGTTCTTCTACCTCCTTACGTTTTTTCTCTTCTTTTTCTTTTTTTACATCGTTTCTACTCTTTTTTCTCATATCTTCTTCATTATATTTTCCTACTTTGTTCTTCTCAAGAAATGCTTTGACAGTATCTACAATATAAAACATAATTATAGATATTTACCTTTTCACCCAAGTGTGGAAATGATACGTGAGATATCCTTTTAAAATACCACTTCCACTTTGCAGTCTTCAGAAAGAGATGGACGAGATGAATCATCAGTTGCAACGAATGCACAAGTTAATGTCCCATCGCATATATTTCATTTCTCGCTTTTCGTTTACATGTAAATAGCGATAATTACGAATATCGTGATCTTATATGTATATATGTTTGTATAGTAAATTATACAGTCTGTTTTGTCAAATATTTATTTCTATATACACCTTTCTCTTTTTAAATGCAAAATTGCAATTAAAATTTATCAATATACAGGTTAGGAACCATTTAAAATCCAACACACGTCGCAACCATCTCAATCAGCTGATTGAGTGCAAGGCCTGCTGCGGATTTGCTGCCAATTTGCTCTCGTGTCTTGTGCGCAAGTATTGCTTAGTGTTTGGTGCCTATTTGGTGTTAAGTTATGCGCTGCAAAATTTGCACGGTTTTTGCCGCAAATTTACTGCAAGATGCTCCGCACCAAGCCTTGTTACACATTTGGTGGCAATTTGCCAGTAAAATTTGATAACATAAAGTTTATTGCAAATTTGTTGCCTATTTGCCATCAACACTTGATGTCAACTCTCACGCGGAATTTGTTCGCTCAGGTTTGGCTATCTGGGTAAGGTAATTATCATCCAGTTTAGACCCCTCAGCTCTGATTTCGCTGAAATTCACATAAATTATGTATTTTAACGCGTAGAAACCGAATCTGTAAGCTAAAGTCGTCGCTCTACACCGTGAAGCGAGATATGAAACGTTAAAGTTGGTATGACAGGTTAGGAAATCTTTCACAGCAACTAATCGTAGCGACACTAGTATACTCTGCGCGTGCTCACCTGCGTTTTTATATATCTTTTAATAAATGTTTTTATTATTTATAATCTAATATATATACTCATTTAAGAATACAAAGATTTAATAAGAAATTACAACTAACATGTACGTTACATGTAACATTGTGTTTGCTGGGTACTTTGATAAATATTCTGATTTAATTGTTTTAATCTAACATTTCTTCTAAAGTATATCTAGAAACTATAAAATTATTGCTGTTTGGGTGGCAGAGTATACTAGTGTTGCTATTAACTCATTAGTATGACATGTTTTCT